GCTACGGCACGAAAAGTGCAAAAACGCATAATCGCACCGGCCCGCCTGGTGCATTCCAGCCTGGGTAAAGATTTTTATGTTCTCATATTAAAGATGCAGTTCCTTTGCAGTGCAAGCGAAATTTTGAACGAGAATGTGAGCTCAGGCGAAAAGCGGAAAACGAGCTTCGCGATTGCCAGAAAAAAGCGGAGGGGCTTGAATCAAGGGTGGAACTGATGAGCCGGGAAATGGAGAACGAATCGAACAAGTTACAGCGGTATATTCAGCACATTTTTCTAAAAAAATTTAAGGATAATATACTCCGCCTCTACGCCACACAACTCTGTTCAAAATGAAGCAACGAAAATGCAGTAGGAGGAGATAATCTAGTTTATTGTATTGCAAGTATAAATTTGGTATTAAAAGGTATGGGACGAAAAGTTTTTTCACGAACGCAGTTCACATGCCATGTAAAAAAAATGTACCGTTCTAAAATTTGTAATTATTCCCATGCACAAAATTTCAGGTCGGAAAATCAAGTGGTAAAGCTGGGCGAACAAAACAATCAGCAAAGAACTATGATAAGCGAATTGCAACGCTGTATCATCGACCTAAATGTATGCTTTCCTAATTGTTTTCTTCTAACTCGTTGCACACTCCAACGTCTAGTTAAAAGTAGTAAACACGATCTATCATTCCAAAATCTAGCTTGCCCATCGGCCGTTGTTCATCGAGCAGTCTTGTTATTTGTTCGCTATTGATTGTCTTAAACAGCTTTTGGATACGAAAGAACATAAAGATATGGCGATGGTTCTTTAAGTCTTCCGTATCTTCCTTTTGCACTGCGAACAGTCTTCGATTCTTTCTGGCTGCTCTGTATCATTCTTTCGGCCAAGTACCGGCTGAACCGAACGGCGAGAGCTTTACAAATTATGTATTCTCCGGACATGATGTGTTTATAGACAGAAAATAATAAAAGCTTCCCTACAATGAACAATTGAGTGGTCGTTAGAAGTTCGCTTTAAATCAGATATTAGCAAGGCCTATGAAAATTGTAAAGATTATGATCGCTTCATGGTGTAGTACCGCAGTCGATAAAGATCGAAATTTCACTCAGCATCTGGTAGCTATACTTAGCATTTGGCTTACTCACACACTGGCAAGGAATGTTCTGAAATTTCAGCTTTCTATCGTATCTGGTTGCTGAGTTAGTAATTCTCCCGTTAGAAATTTTAGGTCCCCGCACGTGAGGCGCAGAATCACGTTAAAGTTGTTGTGATTGCTCTGAAGCATGACCTCGCTCTAAGATAACTTCATTTACTTTTGCTCAACCACACTTCTAAATTCTGCTTCATTCCACAGATAGCTGGCTTACTTCAACAACTGATTTTACTGAAATTAATTAACTAAAATGCGAGTTCATTTCCTCCATTATTTCCATAACTTTTTGTATACTATCAATTTTTTTTTGTCAGCCTTTATTTTTTCTTTTTTTTTTTTGCTTGTATTTGTATATATGAAAATAATTTCACTTCTTCCTCAGGAAAAGTGTGACAAGTGTGATAAAGTAGTAGCAGCGGAAAAAAGTGCGAGAAAGAGAGCAGAAAATGAGCGAGCTGAAAAGGAATGTGAGCTTGAGCGATGCAAAGAAGATGAACAGAAAAATACCAAAAAGATCGAGTTTTTGGTGAGTTTTCATAATTATAACAAGTCTCATCCGGTTAGAATCAAGCAAATAAGATTTTTTATACCTGCAGTAAATCAAACAGAATTTCGTGAAAGCTACAGGAATTTTTTCACAAAAACTTGCAGCAGCTAAATCCGTATCATCCGCAACAAAGACTATTGATAGGAAGTTTCAAGAAACGTCATTAAATTTCATTTAAAACCTGAAAACTTGACAGTACGTTCACCTGTTGTGTTCCTCCCTTTGATTTTGTCTGCGAACATTTGAGCGTGTTGCTTTGACTACAACACAGCAAAAAGTGATGGGTAGGATATTAAATAAATCACTTTTTTCGAAAATAAGCAAATCCGTTTCAAACACTTTCTTTCACTGCACTTAGATTTCAATTTGCTTTGCCCCGAAGTTATAATTTCTGCCCGTTTTTGAAAGCGAGTTCATAGATCAGGGCACAAAAATGTTTAAAGTGACATTTCCGGTTACTCGTTTTTATTTATAATGCACAGAAATAAACTATAAAAACTTGGTCAATACGTCGCCTTGCGTAGTTAATTGTAAAACCTCAAATTCTACCTTGCTCTGTTCTGAATTAACAAAACTGGCATAAATTTTTGACAGTGACACAAATCGAGATACGTTGAATCCATTAGTAAAACCTACAATTCACTACCGGTAGTTTTTATTAATCAATGGTTTCATTACCTTAACACGCATTTTAGCAAAAGATAAACCTAGAAAATTTCCGATTTTGTAGCATTTTCAATTTTCGAGTTCTAAAATAGCCGATTTAGGAGGCACATGACTTATTCATATCAGTGGCTCATACGCGGTTGCAACTTTAATCATTGAATTTCAGTTACCTAACTTTCATAACTTCAGGATTAAACTTTTCGGTCAGTCAGAAAGATAATTTTACACCCATAATTTCACTGAGTGGATGATGCTGGGAAATTATGGGTGTAAAATTTCAGAAGGAAAGTTGTGTAAAAATTTCAAACAAACCGCTTTCAGAAGGAAAGTTGCCACGAAAAAGATAGACAGATAAGGAAGTTGGAAAACAAGCTTGACGAAGCAGCCGAGAAATCTGAAGCAAATATTGCCGAAATGAAAAAGATACATAAGCAGTCAAAAGCGGAACTGCAAAACCGGCTGGATGAACTGAAGAATATGTGCCAGAAGTAAATTCTAACTAAGTTCATTTTCACTTTAAAAAGTTAATTTTTCAGAACTACCAGAAAAATCTCACTTTAGCTAAAAATTCAACTTTCAAATATTGCCAGGAAAACCTCATTTGAAGATTATTAGTCCAATAAATATCCATTGTTTTGCAGCTTATTGAAGATGTTGCAAACAAAGTTTCAGATTGGAAGCAGAAAACAGGATGCAAAAAATGAAACTTGAGTGTGCTGAGAGGGAAAGGGAGTCTTCTGTCGAGTCTGATTACGGTATGCATTTCGACTTATCACATTAGCTCTATGGTTATTACTATTAACTAAAAGCTTATTTATTTTTCAATTCATGTTTCTTAGGCAGTCAATTTAAAAAACGTGAAGAAGCAGGTGTAGGGTGTTTTTGGGGTCCGAGACAGTGATAATCGGCTGCTTCATAGAAGCTGGGTTATCAACCGTGGAAGTCAAAATACAAAATCCTTGGTCCACCGGCTGGTGTTAAACAATGGCGGGGCAAGCATGCTGCACTTTGTTCGGTAAAACTTGAGCGAATCTCTATCAGCCTGACCAGTGGGTGGTAGTGTATTGAAGGTCACTGTTTTATGATTGCTTGCCAAGTCGTGATGGAAAAAGTGCTTGGTAAACTTTAAAAAGCTATGCAAAATCTAACAGGCCTCACATTTAAAAAAAGAAGCACGCCTACCAATTCATTTCCTAAAGAACAACTATCAGATCAATAGCAGTTCTGCAAATCACGCAGAATTTTTGTACAAGTGAAATCGCGATTTTCAATATAATATTAGTTTCTATCAGATACAGTGTATGTCTAGTTTAGGAAGAAAAAGCCAAAATAGTATTTCACAGATAAATATACTGATATCAAGACACTAAGAAAAGTTAAAATTGTTCAGCTATCATTTTTTCGGCTTCAAAGGACGTCAGTACCAATGGCATTTCAGTATCAGGCGGCAGGCAGAGTCGCTTGGGAAGTCGGCAACAATCTTCAAGCTCCCTTAGCTCATTTGGCTCCATCCGTACATTAAGCAGAAGAACGGTTGAACCGGAAAGCAGGTATTCTTCCGGATTTCGCAGTCCCTCTTCACTTTCAGCAAGCCAGTATTCGGTAAGTAGAACTCCAGCATTCAAATTTTACTAGATGAAACCCCCCCCCCCTCACTCGTTTGACACTGTTTTTAAAATATTACAAATTTATTAATCTACGACAGGAAAATATCAATGCTTTGTTGTAGCTATTTAGCACATACGAACTGCCACTGTCTGCTGTTTCGACAATATTTTCTAAAAACATGACCGCCAAATCAATTCTTTTATGGATGCATCTGCATTTCCAGGCAAAACTAAATAACAGTTACTGTTTCTAAAAAGTGTACAATGCATTTGCGTTTAAACTGGAAAATTGACGATAATTTGAAAGGCCCACTTAGGCTCAGGTTTTCACCTGAGCATCATGCCGTAGTATGAAAACATTAGAGGTAGCGTTTTGGCGAGTATTTGCTTCGTTTATTCGTACGATTACGGAGAAGCTCCAGGCACTTTCGCCTTATTTCATTATTATTACAGCTAGCATTTGCTTTTCTACTTTCAACCGTTGCCACTTCTCACACTCGTTCGTTATTGCCTCCATCACAGAGGCGCTAAACACAGCCTTTACGGTTCGACACTTCGTGAATATCGACAGTGCTGTAAAAACTTCGCCTACTGATAGTCGTCTTTCTACCTCCTCTTGTCAATGCCAATAACTACCCATGTACTTGGCTCTCTTCATTCATTTCCTCTCACCTAAATTTTGAGCTGAATTCATCCATATTGGCTGTGCTCACAGATATGACGATTAGTATAGTATGAAAAAAAAACATAAACTAGGATAATTTTGAGGTATTTTTTTCGGAGTTTTGTTTGAAAAATACGTTGATTTGCAGCGAATGATAGTGGGAAGAGTTGATTTTGTGAAGGCTGCTTCCAGCCGAGAATAAATTTGATTCTACTAACATTCATTTGCCTTCCTCTCGCGCCTAGAAAAATCGTTTTATTATCTCTTTAGCTTGCATTGTGTTTGATTCTTTTGCCATGTTTCATAAAGATGGCAAGACAAGTGATATTCTTGCAATTTCCTGGTGATAATGGTTCTTGAACTTATCTTTCGGCACGGCCTGTATTTGTAAGTCCAGCACGCTCTGTTGCGACGTATTCCTTTCGCTCTTCTTGTGTCGCTCTGCTGCTCTTTGCTTAAGATTAAGGACACAAGCTTAACAGGATCATTTCAATGCATCTTACACTGCAAAGCGGCCGAAAACGCATATCGTCGAGATCTTGGATGTGTGTGTATGTTTATGTGTGCGTGTAGGTATGTTCAGTTCTTTTGTTCAGAGTTTCTGACTTCTAGGATGAAAAAAAAATCTAGGACGCTGAAATTTTAGGAGAATATTCCCTGCCCATGTGCTATTCCGGAATTTAAATCCAGTCACTATTTACACCTAGGTTTCATGCACGGAAACGTGAAGACTTTAGCCGGATTTTTACTGGCTCGAAGGCCATATAAGACAGAAAGTTAAATTTTTCTTTTTTACTCCACCGTTCTCCAAGTAGTTCTGTTCGCTTTCCATGTTGCTTTTATCCCTGTTTCGCTTCATTTTGTGATCAGATTAGTAATGGTCCATAATACGAACAAGATGACTTCAGCATCGCTCTGCATCTATTTGTTTGCAAATTTTAAAAATCCGACGCAGAGAGCTATCTGGAAATCATTTAGTACGCCTAACGTTTACAAAGCTCACCGAATGTGAAACTCGAGTCCGAACGAATATCTGTGTCCATCACAAATAGCGAAATAATACTGCGGTTTAGAAAAAAATAAACAGAACTAAGCATTTGCAGGGTGGCACCTACAGTCTGTCGAGGAGCTCTTCACAAACTCAGCTTGCAAATGAGCGAAAAATAGCGCAACTGGAAAAGCAGATTGCAGCTGCGCACACCGACACTCAAATGATGAAACGCGAAATTGAAGTGTACAAGTCAACACTGGCTAATAATGAAAAAGTGAGTTAGCATTTCCTAACCAGCGATGCCAGCGCAGAATTAGGGTCGAGTCTGCAACCCTGGAGCCTAAAAAAGTTTTAAATGGTCATTTTCATGTGAGAGCGCAAAGTTCATAGCGCGGGATGGTTTTGCTAAAGCAAATTAGAAACAAAAAAAAAGCGTTTTCAGTGAATTTGATCCTTTATACTTGTGTTCACATTCGAACAATATTGCAAATTTCGAGCACGTTAAGTCTGTAGATAATGCATATTTGTTTGAACACACAGCAACTGTTATTTCTTTTCAGGAGCGCGATTCCTTATCACAGAAATTACGCACACTGAATGCCTCAATCCGACAACTAGAGCAGTCATTGGCCGATGAAGAAAGGAAAAATCATGAGTTCGAATTACGCTTCAAGAAAGTGAAAAATGAACTGGAGAATGTGCGAAACAAATACCAACAAATGGTGAAAGATGGGCAAACAGAAATATTGGAAGAGAGGTGCTCTGGAACTGTTTGTTTTTCCCCTCACACCGAATTTCAACTTTTTTTTACGTAGTTATCTGAGAGACTTCCAAAATAAATAGATAAAGATACTAGGAAGCCAGGGCGATCATGCGCTTTTGTACAGTTTGATATTTGCACTCAAACTGAAGCTTCTTTCTCGACCGGCTATAGATAAAAATCATACCATATCGAACTGTTCCCAGATCCGTTATCACTGTTTGGCTGTATCAGTTCCAATAGTCCAAGCGTCATAATGAAACGGTAAATTTTAATTAGTAGTAGCAACTGCAAATATACGTTGGGTCTTCCTTTACTGCATTTGCGTATATGACATTTTCCACATTTTCTTCTGAAGTCCACTCTTTTTACTTTGCAGGGGCGGGGTTGTAACAAAGATGGTGAGGATTGAAAAGCAGCTAAGATCCTGTTTGGAGGCAGGATTCGAAACAGAGCTAGGAAGTGTGATACTAAATAAAAAATTAGATCCTCAGTGAAAGCTGGTAAACTTACTGGTAGTGAGGAAGCTATAAATATTCTTGTAAATCCTCTAGTTTGACGACTTTAGCGTTAATGGACCAGGCAACGTTTTTTTTTTAGTAATAATAGGACGAATTTTTCATTTACATCTTTAGTTTTTTTTTTATAAAATTTTTGCTGAAATCCAGAAAAATTTAGGATTTCAAATTTTTACAACCACACAATTACTGAGGATAACAAGAACGTGCTTTCTAGACAATCACAAAATGAGTAATTGCAGAAGAAAAATGAGGCTGAAAATGGATGCGCTTTGGCGAGAAAATGAGGCAAAAAAACGAGACATTAAGGAGGAACGAATCGTGGAGCAGCTACAGAAAGAACTCGCTAGTACAACTGCACGGCTAAACAGAGCTCTGGCACAAGTAAAATTTCAAGTGAAACATTTCATCGTTAGTCGGCACGAATGCCTTACCACTTAAGCAAGACACTAAAAAGCAGTACTGTCACTTCCCTTACTGTTAGGTACCCTATCACTGATTTCATTCCGCTTTTGATCGATAATACAGTACTAACTTCTCTTTTGTCATCCCTGACAGTTGTTTCTTACGCCTGATGCCAATGCTTTGGAAGAACTAAATGTTGTGAGATGATATTATCACACTCATGACGTTATGTAACAGAGTGCGTGAATTTTTGTTCATCCCAAGTTACTGCTTCAGGAAAAGTTCAGTTTTTAGTTTAAGACCCAGGCTGGAACGCACCAGGCTCTCCGGTGCGATCATGCGTTTTTGTACTAAACTCGCAGATTGCTATTAGCAAGAATGACCCCTACGCTGGAACCTAACACTTGGGCCCTCCTTTCTGGCATGCAGGAGGAAGGGCGTCAGTTGGGATGAAGGTGGTGCATTATAGAGTCGCACGGACATCCAGGT